GTTTATTTGGTGTTCGATATGCCTCTTTTATTTGTATGGGTATGTCTTTCTTTAATTTTTGGAAATTTTATTCTATAGTCCTGTTGAAGATCTGGTCCGTACTCTTATCTTGAGATTCTTCTCCTTCTTCTATGCCTTTGATTCGTAAGTTTGGTCTTTTTATGATGTCACACAATTCCTGCATATTCCATTCTTGTGCTTTCTTAAATTTTTCGTAATCTTTGCTTGAGTGGTCTAATTCATTTACTTTATCTTCAGTCTTGATACTCTGTTTTCCATTTCATTAATCCTATTGGTGATGCTTTCTCCTGTTGTTTCTAATTGGCTTATTGAGTATTACACTTCCTTCTTCATTTCAGCCTGAGTATTCTTCCATATTTTTAGCTCTTTTCTGAATTCATTCAGAAGTTTATCCCTATCTTCCTTCAGTTATTTGATTTATTTGTTTATATGTTTTTTAAATTCACTGAATTCATCATGTTTATAATTTTTCTTTTGAGTTCCATGTCCTGTGTTGTCTCTAGGGGATTCTCATTGTATTCCTCTAGCAGACTGTTGGTACTTGGTGGGGATATATTAATTTGGTTTTTCATGTTACTATTTTTTCTCTGTGACTTTGACATGTGAATTTCTTTCGTAGTTTCTAATTCTTGTGTGAGACTCAAGCCTTCTTTTGTTGAGTTTAGATCTGCTACTTTTTATAAACTGTATATGCCTTTGTGGTTTACTTGTTGGGCATGAAAAGCTGGTTGGTCTAGGCTTCACATTCTCTCTTTTGATTTTATATTGGAGTCGCCACATTGCTTTTGTCTTCAGGAGTTCCCATAGAGGGCCAAGTCAGATGAGGATTAGATAGTCTCAGGCTTTCTCCTAAGGTCTGGTTCCCTCCAGAAATGATAATGACTTTAGGAATTTGGAAGCTGGGCTGGCCTGGGGGCAGTTCCCAGGAAAGATGCTGGTTCCAGGAAGCTGGTGGTTGTGCCACGCAGTATTGTTAAGGGAGGTGGGGGAAGGATCAGGCTCAGAGGGCTCCTGGGGACTTCAGGGTGGGATTGGGTTGGTCTGGATGCAAAGGATCAGGAAGCAGTGGCGATTCTGGGCCAAATGGTCAGTGCTGTGGTCTGGGGTGCCAAGACAAGAAATGGGCCAGTACCAGGAGAAGATATAGGGTGGGGGACCTGGGAGGATGAATTTAGCTGGGGGAGTGAAGGTGCTGTGGGTGCCACTGGTTTCTACTTTTCAAGTTCCACTTTGTATCGCTCACAGTCCTTACATTTATTTGAAAGAACTTAAATTTGTTTTCTCTCAGACAAGTCTATAAAGAACTCTCTTCCAATCCAGTCAAAAGCATATTGTCCTTAAGCTTGAAAAGTATCACTCATATATATGCAAGGTTTACTTCAAAATAGGATTAGGAATTTTTTTGTGTGTCCAAAATGGGATCCTACATGAATCATATTGCTTGAAACATTACTGCGTTTCAGTAACCACTTAGTGAATAAATGTTTTGTCTAAAATGAATGAAAGAATAATATTTTTCTGAGTCTATTTCTTCATTATTGGGATTGAAGACAATAGAAATTTAAAATAAAATATCACTTTAATTTTATCATAGTAAAACATGGCCAATACTGTGGAATTGTTCATTTAAATGTTGTTGAGGAATGCATATACAGGAGCAAGTTGTATCAACAAGTAAAATGAAACTCATTTTCTGGCCTTCTGGAGACAAGGCAGACATAGACCCTCCTTTTGAATGTAATCTGGGTCTTGAGTACCAGAAAATTCAGAAGATTGTTTCAGGTTCAGTGCAGATTTTAGTGGTCATCTCCTTAAGTTTGAGACTGTAGCTGCAATTCATTGATTATTCAGAAAACTATTTAAATTTTCTCATTAATTTATTTTTATTTTATGAATTTGAGTGTTTTGCCTGCATGTAGGTAAATGCATCTGTGCCATGCAGTGTTCAAAGAGGTCAGAAAGGGAATCCAATCCCCTGCAATTGGAGTTATGGATGGTTATTAGCTGTTATTTAAGTGCTTGAATCTGACAGACCAGGGTCCTCTGTATGAGCAGCCAGTGTTCTTAACCACTGATCCATTTCTCTGGCCTCTCAGAACATATTTAAGGGGAAAGTGAAGAACATTGATTCATTACTTGTAGAAGTTTCTGTTTAGGACCATGCCCCTGCCTTGGCTGACTTGTGTTCTGTGTGGAATCTTGTCTCCTCTGCCATTGCTTTTGCTATCCTGTGCTGTCTTTATCATTTGCCTCTTTCTGCATTGAGGAAGAGAGTAATTTGTGCTCTTGCCATTTAGTTCTTGAAGTGAGTACTTGTGCGAGAGAGTAACAGATTTCATTCATATTCTAGTCAGATTTCCTTCCAGCTCTATCAGTGCTCAGTTGTTTCCTGTACTTACATTTTTCCTGGCAGATTCCTCCCTCTGGATTATCTGTATTTGGAAAATACTGGATGGGATTTATCACTGGAGGCAAGGGATAATGCTAGTAGATATTTTCATGTCTTTGCTTGAGCTTAATAGCCAGTGCATAGTGACCACTAATCATCTGACTTTGAATGAATCAGTGTGTCACCAATCATAATGTTCATTTGTCATTTACATGGTGGACTATGGGTTGAAGAGATAGTAGAGAAATTTGTACTTGATAGAATTAAAGTTGATACACTGTGCTAGCTGAAATTCATTTTATTTTGGTGATGTGTTATTTGACTAAAACGCTAAACAGAAATTTGTATATACTAGAAGCATATAAAATTAGAACTGAATATGCATATACTTAATTATCAGGAAAATATAAAGATGTGATGTCACCATCTCAAGGGAGTGGCTGTGAGAGGCAGAATCATAAGATGACACTTGATCATCCCTGGAAGTCAGTCATATTTCCCTCACAGGAAAGGCACAAATTCTGATAACTGCCTTGTATTAGTTACTTGTCTTGTTGCTGTGTCAAAGCATCATGACTAAAACAAAGTGAAGGAAGGAGAAGTTTCAGCTACACAGTTCAAGAGTGTATTCCATAGTGCCAGCAAAGTCAGCTGCAGAGCCAGAGGGAGCTGGTCATACTGCATCCAGTCAGGAAGCAGGCAGAGAGGAATGGATTCCCATGCCCAGCTAGCTCTCTACTTTTCATGCAGTGTTGAACTCCAGGCCATGAAATGGTGCTGTTCACATCCAGAGTAAGTCTTCCCACCTCAGGTAACATAATCTAGGTAAAGTCCAATGGACATGTTCAAAAACTCATCTATTAATTTATTCTAGACCCTATCACCTTGACAATAAATCAACCATCACAAACTTGCGTTCTAATTTACTTACTGTGACTGTGGTAAAACATTGACCAAAACCAACTTGGAAGGAAGTAAGGAGTTATTCACAATCTATCACTGGTGGAAGTTGGCAGGAACTCGATTTAGCAGCCTAGAGGTAGAAACTGAAGCAGAGACTCCAGAGGAATGCTGCTTGTTTACTGGCTTGTTTCCTCAGGCTGACTCAACTAGCTTTCTTATATGGCCCAGGTCCATCTTCCCAGGGATGGTACTACCCGCAGTGGGTCTACTGTGGGCCTACCCAGCCTGGTCTACACAGTGAGTTCTGGGTTCCAGGCCAGTCAGAGCTATAGGGAGGTTCTATCTAAAAGAGAGAGAGAGAGGAGAGAGAGAGAGAGAGAGAGAGAGAGAGAGAGAGAGAGAGAATATGTTAATGTCAATTGAGACTCCCTCTTCCCACCCAAGTATGTCTGTGTGTGTCAAGTTGACAAGACCTAACCAGCACAACTTGCAAGTGGATTATTTCCATAGACTTTTTTCTTTTTAGGAAAACAGTTCATTGAGTACTTTTCAAGAGGGCAGTGGACTAGGCAGTAACTAGAATGCTGCCTAACCAGGCTACTCTTGTCTATTTATACACTTGAGTGCTGGGAGTCTAGCCTATTTTTGACTCACAGAAAGAAACTTTTGATAATAATCCATGTGAACCTAGTACCTTAATATTAGTCTTATAAGACTCTAGTCAAAGAAGTTTGTTGAGCCCACTCCGATTTCTGCTGTATAGAACTTTGAAGTAATAAGTGGGTACTGTTTTAAACTAAATTGGTGTGAATTTGTTATGATATATATTAGTCTTGTAGAATGAAAATTTTAATGTGAAAACTTGCAAAATCAAGCATTTGCTGGTTGTGAATCAAATGAAATGATTTCTGTTTGGGGAATGTAAATTAATAGTTCAATGGTATCTACAACCCCCAAAACAAATGTGGACATTCCCTATGAAAAATCATACCTTCTAGATGCTTTTCTGATACAAGTCTATGTGTATACCTAGCTATAAACTACAAGAATATTTATAGCCAATTTGAAATAGCCTTATACTGGAAATAACCCATATATATTATGTATTACCAATAAAAGAAACAATTTAGTTTATTCATCTAGGGAAGGCTACATAGACACAAGAATGAACCAACATCGCTTAACACAGGTAGAGCTTACAAACACCCATTGAACAAACAAGGCATCCTGTGAACGCTATACCACAAAAAGATGTGTTCCCGCTTACAGAAAGACCAGCGACAGGCAAAAAACTTGATAACATAAGAACAGTGAGTAGTTGTGGGCTGCAGCTGACTGACGGAGAACATGGTTGTAGCCCATAGTAATACACATTCTACTAATTTTGTTCTTGATTAAGCAGGTGGATTCCTGTGAACAGTCATGGAATGCACAGGCATGACCTAGTTTTTAAAACTGTTAAGTCTTAGGAATTCTGTTTGCACCATGGGCGTAAAAAGAAGAAAGATTGGCAAAGGTCTATAGCCAGCTGGATGAGAAGATGCTATGAGAAAGGAACTAAGGATAATTTTATGACATTTAATGTTTTGGTGGAAATTCCCCCTGAATTTGACAGAAAATAGAAAAATGAAAAGGGGAACCTGAGAACATGCATTTACATTTACAGTGATCTGTTTTAACATGACAGTTTGCCGGGAGGATTCCTGCCACTCTGCAATGTCCTGTGCTGCTGTCCTTACTTCGGTGGAGCCAACAATAGAAATGAAGAAAACAGAAGAAGCTAAGTTCCCTGAGCCTTCCAAAGAGTAAGTTTTCATCTACATTTTCACAGCTTGTGGTATCATCCAGGTAACATCAAATCATCACTGCTCAGAAATTATAATGTGTGGTAAAACTGACAGTGTACGGGTGGATAGAAATTTGTTTTGCACAACTTTTTTTTTTTTTTTTTAAGACAGGATCTCCCTGCAGCCCCAGCTGGCCTGGAACTTGGTATGTAAACCAGGCTGGCCTTGAACTCACAGAGATCCACTAGCCTCTGCCTCCTGAGTACTGGTATTAAAGGTGTGGGCATTTTCTTCTGGCCCCCATGGGCATTGCATACATGTGTACCTTTACATACATGAAGGCAAAACACTCATGCAAGTAAAATTAAAATAAATGAATTAATCTTATAGTTTTATTTTGTTACTTCTTTTAGTTTTTTTTATTTTAGTAGAAGAAGCATTTTGTTACCTTTTAAAAAATTTTATTTAATAAGCACATAATTAGTAGAAGCATTTCATTATAGCAGCATCGTATAATCAATAACAGTTTCCAGGGCACAGATGCATCTCTTTCAAAATTGGCTGTAAGATTTTAGGTTCACAGTGTTGAATTAATACAGTTATACATTATTGTACTCAGTATAAACCCTAATCGCTATGTATCTGGTTATTACTAGTCATAGTCAGTTACTTTCTGAGATCCTTGGCACCTGAACATGGATATAAATTCATCAGGTACATTTCAATGTTAATATTTTTCATATCTACTAATTAACATGAAGCAAATTTTTATGCTTCTTCCTCAAATATAACTCATTTTTTAATTTATTGAATTTTTTGTGTATTCCATACAGAAAATCCCAATCTTACTCATCTTTATACCCGCATCCCAAATGGCAACCTCCCATAGCCACCCCCCCCCAATTTTTTAAGCCATGAGTAGCAAGCAGAACAAGTATACTGTGATTGTGATTGTGCATATAGTGATTTTAGGCTACTGATTCCAGAGCTGCATGAGTTTAGTGGTCTAAAATGGAATCTGTGTGTGTGTGTGTGTGTGTGTGTGTGTGTGTGTGTGTGTGTACCATCAGGTGCCAGAAGAGGGCTTTGGATCCCATGGAGCAGGAGTTATAGCTGATTAAGAGCTGCCTCACTTGGGTGATGGAATGAAACTCAGGTCACTTGAGAGAGCAGCAAGAGCTCTTAACTGCTGAGCCATGCGTCCAGCCCAAGATTCAGTTTGTATGAATTTCTTTTAAAAAATGTGTTCCTAATGAATTTTTATGCAGACAAAAATCCAGCATAAAAACTCTTTCAATTTTATGTCTTATAGGGAGTATACTGAGTTCAATATTGTATAACTGTATTAATTCAACTGTGAACCTAGAAACTTGCACCCACTTCTGAAAGAGATGTACTTTTGCTCTGGAGTGTGTTACTGAATATGTTAAAGCTGTAATGAAATGCTTCTTCTAATCATGTAGTTATTAAAAATTTTTAAAAAATCCAGCATAGAACTTGGAAAATGAACAGTACTGTAAATTTCTTACTTAGCTTAAAGTTGGTTTAGATTGATATAAGGAATTTATGTTTCCATCAAAAAATTCTTTTGGTAAACTATCACATACTACAACTCGACACCACTGAACACATTTTGCCTTGTGGTTGCCTGGTAGAAGCATAAGACTTTCTGGCGCAGTGTTTCCCTTCTTGATCTGTGTACTGGTAGCATGTGCATTTATTTTGTGAATATTTGACATGTTGCAAGTTTATGATATGTGCATACATATTTCTGAGTATATGTTTATGTTCAATGAAAAGACTTTAAAAAGTAAAACATTTGTAGTATGTATATTTTTATTCTTTAAGTAACGACACAAGCTGTCTCTGGTTAAATTCATGATAAATATATGTGGACAGAAAATATTAAAATACAGTCACTTCTGTAAAGCATTGCATGTCTGAAGGGAAAAAAACTGGTGCTGATTTCCCAGGGAGAACAGGATCACACCTGCTTTAATGTCTCTGCGAGGAGAGTTTTACTACGTGATAATATGTGATGATGTGTGACATGTGATGGTACATGGTGTATGGTGATATATGATGATGTGCAACATGTAGTGACATGCTAATGTAAGTTATGCAGTATGTGTTGATATGTGGTGATGTGTGACATGTGTGCTGTCTGCCCCTGCTGCTGGACTGCACATTCCCAAGGGCAGGGTCCTTGGCACATCTGAGACAATCCTTCTGGGTTACAATGGATTGTGTTTGTTTGCATGTTGTCTGTCTTTCTACTGGGTAATAAGCTCCTCAAACAGAATTTCCTAGGACATGGTCATGTTCAATACTCTGTGAAATCAATTAGAAAATCCCTTAATGTTACAGTCAATAATATTGAATCAAATGGAGCAATATATGTACTTGATTGCATGAAGATATTCAGTATTAATATTTCCATTAAGGGGAAAAGAAATACCGACCAATTCAGAAAGTAATGATTGTAATTCAGTTTTAATGCAATCTGAAAGTGAGAACAATTTGACCGCTCTTAATGTGGTGGAGATTTTAGGTTCTGGTAGTCTTTGTTGTTGTTGTTGTTGTTGCTGTTTAAAAGAAAGAAAAATTACATCTCATTTTTGCCCAGAGTTACATTAGAAAGCTCAAATGCATTGTCCTGCAATATGTTTATGAGTTTAAATAAGTGACCTATATAGTTGTGACATGGATCTTAAATGTTTAGATTTTTTTCAAGGATTTTGACAATGAAAGTTGAAGTATTAACCTACATGTCCTTTTTCCTTGTCTTTAGCTATTCCATAAACAGTCCTGTCTCTTACTCTGTGTCTGTGTATGTGTGTGTGTGTGTGTGTGTGTGTGTGTGGTGTGTTTGTGTGGTGTGTGTAGGTATGTGTGTATGTGTGTGCTTGTACATTTATGTGTGTATGTGTGTGTTTGCACACATCCCTTTCCTCTGTTCAATCTGAGACTCCCCTGGGGTCTTAGAATCTACTCACATTAGAATACTCTTCCCCAACAATATTATTAGTTCATGTAGATTTTATTGGTGTTGTCTTTTTTTTTTTTTTTTGAGTTAGAGACCATGGTTAAAATCTGTTTTAGTAAAACTTGTATATGAGTTTTGAACATGTATCTTTTCATGCTTTATTTTGCTGTCAGTTCCAGTAATCCCTATGCCATGAAGGTGATGTCAAGGGACACTGTGAAGGTCCTGATACTACTAATCCATATGGAACTAGTTCCAGTGCCCTGTCACAACTTCAAATGTCAGCATTGTAGATGTTCCTATGTAGAACCTTTTGAATGCAGTGAAGCTGTCGTCTAACTATATATCCTACTAGAATACATTTATTAATGACCAGATCTGTGTATGTTAAAATCATATCTCTAACCTTGATAACCACATAAACCTACAACAATTTTTCTTGAAGTCTTGACGTTTCCTTCCTTATCACACCTTCAGTCCGTTATCCATGGCTCGGTTAATGTTTGCATTATATTTTTCCTACCATTCCAACTGATCTGGAAGCCAAACTCAGCTCATGTTTTTCTAACATTAATTTTCTATTGTGATCCTAAGGAAGTCAGTCAGGTATTTTCCAACATGTATCTTCTGGGTTTAACCCATGAAGTCATCTAACAAACAGAAATTATGTATGACCTTTCTCTCATTCATAGAAATTATTTTGAAAATTAAATGTTAGGTGTAAGCAGATGGAAAAGCACAACATGAATAGGAGATAGTAGCTCAGAATTCTTGATTTCCGGTGAGAGAACACCAAAGAAAACTGACTTCAGCGAAATCAAGGGCAGTAGTGGTTACTGGATCATGCTATTAAAAGTATCAAGTAGAATTTTAGATGTCATAGGTTTTCGTGTTTAAACAGCACTCTTGGGGACCAGTTTATCTGCATCTGTTTACTTTGCTCTCTGGCCTGCAGCTCCCATTTTCTAGGACGTTTCTCAGATGGTGGCAGAGTTTCAGCAGCAGCTGAGACAGATGTTTATCTTTCCGACACATCAGCGGACAAAGCTTGTTTCTCTTAATGAAAGCATTGAGTGCTGCCTGCTCTGATTGGTTCTGTTTGACACAACCGTTCTGAAGCAACACCTGCACCCCGAAGTATTTATCAATCATTTGAGGCAGGAAGCTACAGTTAAATTGAGGGGTAAAGGTGTTTATGCATTTGGAATTTTGATAATATTGATAAATTAGGACCAAAACAAATGAGAGAAATAAGAGGAATGCGTGCTCAAAGCAGGTGATGCTTTCAGTATCCACTTTGGAAGCCAGAATTTTCGTTAAATTAAATTATAAATACTAAAACACTAAAGTACAATATTCATAACTTATTTTTCATGTATTTTAACCAACTTATTTTATGTTATTTAATGTGTACTGTTGGGAGACAGTATATCAAATTTCCCTTACCTTGTTTTGTTGGCCTTATTCACTTACCTCATAATAAACATAATGGAAAGGCAAAGATATATACTTTTTGTTAAAATATTTTATTTATTATTTTTATTTTATGTATATGAGCGTATTGCCTGCACTGTATTACCTGTGTTATGCACTGCCTACGGAGGTCAGAAGAGGGCATCAGATTCTCCTACAACTGGAGTTAAGAATGGTTGTTGGCTGCTATGTGGGTGCTGGAATTGAATCCGGGTCCTCTGCAAGAGCAGCCAGTGCTCCTAAGCACTGAACCATCTTTCCAGCTCCGAAAATATATACATTTTATAATTATTTTCACAGCAAGTATATTAACTAAGAAGTATTTTCATGTTTTTAGAGATGAAGTTCCCAGAGCTCTGCATGTTATTAGTTTTTATATTTTTATTTCCTGGAACTGAAACACATGCATAAATAATAGCTCTTAATATAATACTGAGAATTTCATTTCTGTTAGTTGAGAAGCTGGTCTTGAACACATATTATCTTTTTAAATTCTGGATGGGATTACTTCTTTAAATATTTTGTCCCCCTAACTGTGCAGTCTTGTACAAATTCATCA